TCTATCTATCTATCTATCTATCTATCTATCTCTCTATCTGTCTATCTATCTATCTATCGATCTATCTATCTATCTATCTATCTATCTATCTATCTATCTATCCACCTACAGTATCTGCCCATCCATCCATTTACAGAGTCTATCTATCCATCATCTACAGGAATTCTCATCCATCCATCCATCCACAGTATCTATTCATCCATCAACAGTATCTATCTATTCATCCATCTGCAGTATCTCTCCTTCATCTATTCATCCATCCATCCATCCATCCATCCAACAGTATCTCTCCATCTATCCATCCATCCATCCATTTATCCATCCATCCATCTATCCATCCAACAGTATCTTTCCATCTATCCATCCATCCATCTATTTATCCTTCCATCCACCCATCCATCCATCTACAGTATCTCTCCTCCATCTATTCATCCATCCATCCATCCATCCATCTACAGAATCTATTTATCATTTACAGTATGTAACTCTCCATTCACCTTCAGTATCCATCCATCCATCCATCCATCTACAGTATCTCTTCTCCATGCATCCATCAATCCATCCATCCATCCATTCAACAGTATCTCTCCATCCATCCATCCATCCATCCATCCATCCATCCATCCATCCATCCATCCATCCATCCATCCATCCATCCATCCACAGTATCTATCTATCTATCTATCTATCTATCTATCTATCTATCTATCTATCTATCTATCTATCTATCTATCTATCTATCTATCTATCTATCTATCTATCTATCTATCTATCTATCTATCTATCCACCTACAGTATCAGCCCATCCATCCATCTACAGAATCTATCTATCCATCATCTACAGTAATTCTCATCCATCCATCCATCCATAGTATCTATTCATCCATCAACAGTATCTATCTATTCATCCATCTGCAGTATCTCTCCTTCATCTATTTATCCATCCATCCATCCATCCATCCATCTATCCATCCAACAGTATCTCTCCATCTATCCATCCATCCATTCATCTATCCATCCATCCATCCATCCATCCATCCATTCATCTATCCATCCATCTATCCATCCATCCATCCATCCATCCATCCATCCATCCATCCATCCATCCATTCATCCACCCATCCATCAATTGATCCATCCATTCATCCATCCATCCACCCATCCAGCCATCCATCCATCCATCCATTCGTCTACAGCAGGGGTGTCCAAACTCGCTTCTTGAGGGCCGGTGTCCTGCACAGTTTTTCTAATATTCCAATACACATCGTTTCTCATTTTAATCATTATTATGTTGTCACTATTATTTCAACCACAAAGTTTTACCCATTTGTCAGCAAAAAAAGACTTTAGTCATCTAAAAAACTGCTAAACGAGGCCAGGATTAGTATGTTGCTTCACTTTTTACATAATTTATGAATTTGAATAGGGCATACTGATGATTTTGCATACTGATGATCATGACGCATTACATATTATCACCCATATTTTGATATTTCCACAAAGGTTATTAAAAACAACAAATCATGCTCTTGTATTTAATATGCTTCCATGCATATAAAATCACTTTTGTAGTTTTTACTTGACAAGGACACCAGAATGGTGCGTCTGGTCTTTGATCTCCATCTATTATGCAGCACATCTGAACACAGAGATTATATGGTAAACACTCCGGCAGTGTGAGCAGACTCACTTAATACATTCATCTCTCTAATCACAGGTCGTCTGAGGTAAACACTCTCTTTTCATGGCCGTCAATAACATAACAGCCCCGTTATTACCACACAAACGAGACATGACAACAGCAGGCCTGCCTTTCATTCTCTCAACCTCAAGCTCTTTACTTTTAGAAACAGGATTGATGAGGCTGCTGCTTTTCTGGGAACTGGCTCTTTTTAAGAGTTCATTTCTATGGAATGCTTTTAAATAGCTTATATATACTAGCAAGAAGGTTAACATTATTAAACTGGAAACAAAAGGCCGCTCCTACATATAAATCCAAAAGATGCATTAGGAGCTAGAAAAAAAATCTGACGCCCCCATTCATTTTCTTTTCGGCTTAGTCCCTTTATTAATCTAGGGTTACCACAACGGAATGAACCGCCAACTTATCCAGTCTACGTTCTATGCTGCGGATGCCCTTCCAGCTGCAACCCATCGCTGAGAAACACCCATACACATACAATACGGACAATTTAGCCTACCCAATTCACCTATAGCCCATGTGTTTGGACTTGAACACCGGAAGGAAACCCACACCAACACGGGGGGAACATGCAAACTCCACACAGAAATGCCAACTGGCCAAGCCGGGGCTGGAACCAGCGACCGTCTTGCTCTGAGGTGATTGTGCTACCCACTTTTTCAACTTGCTGCCCAAAGACAAATGATTAAAAATTTTAATGAGATAAATTCTACAGAAAATAGTTCAATTGAAGACGATTAGACAAATTTAGACTAATCCTTGAGTTATTTATCACCTTAAATGTTGTGTAAGTGTTTGTCGGATAAATACTTGTAATGAATGTGTTTGGTTATTAATAAATCTAATAAAAAAGTTATAAAAAATAGCTTCTTGAACTATTTTTATTAAATAACTACTTATTAGGGATGTGACAAGATCTCGTATGACAAGATCTCCTGAGGTTAAATGGTGACGAGATTTCTGGTCGAGGTAAAAAGTTGTCCTGTGAGTTGTGATGTTATGATGGAGCGTGACGGTGAATTTCAACCCAGGCTCATTCTGAAAATGTAGTCCTGTGGACGTTTTTGGAGGCCGCGGAATACATCCCGGGAGGTACATATTTGTGCAGTTTTTGTTTTCGCGAATCCGCAAGAGAATCTCGAACGTCCGCGCTGTTCTCGCGTAGACCCACCAGAGGCCGCTGTCGAGAGACCGTCTGTCTGACTGACAGAATGAATGATTGACTGGGCAACCGGCCAATCCTTCCTCCTCCTTCCCTAAACCCAACCAGTTTTACCAATTGACCCGCCCATCCGCTTACTTCCCTAAACCCGAGCAACGATTTATAAATGCCGCCAGAAAAAGAAAAACAATCGTCAGGTTTTTACCACGTTTTCGGATTTCACCAAATTCTCACCCTGTTGTTCACTCGTTCACTTTATTTTTAGGATTCTGTTTTTATCTTATCTGATTTCTGGAACCGCTCTTCCCCGGACTCGAACCCGGTCATCGTTGTGGTCAGCTCCTGTCTGCGTCTCAACTCCACCGACGTACACGACGAGCTAACTAGAAAAACTGGTTGCAGCGGAAAAGCCCTCCACATGGAGGTAAGCGGTCAGCCGGCGAACGCGAAAAGGAACGGCGTCATACCGCCCCTTAGCGTTCACTTAAAAATTGAAATGCAGTCAATCGTACCTCCAGCTACATAAATCGCGGTCTCCAGAACTGTCCACGGGACTACTTTTTCAGAATGAGCCTGGGTTGGTGAATTTAGCACTGAAGATTGGAGGCAGGATTTGATTTTTGTACTGTAAATCAAGTCCTTTTCACACGCCTGACAACCCAGGGTAGGCTGGCCTCAGGAGTTACGCGTCTCTCAGTTTGGTGAGCCGGTGTGGTGTAACCAGAGATGTATAGTAACAAAGTAGAACTACTTCACTACTGTACTTAAGTACTTAAAGGCTGTATCTGTACTCTACTGGAGTATTGTTTTTTTCTCCTACTTTCACTTTTACTTCAGTACATATTTTCGATGAATATTTATTTTTATGTGCTGCATCGTTACTCGTTACAATTATAAAGATATTACGAATTATTCCAAACTTACATTATCACTGCCAGAGCAGCAGATGGCTCTGCCACAGGTTTGAATAAGCTGGCTCGTCATCATTTAGATGATTAAAAAAGACAGCGCTCCCTGCCTGCATTGAGAGCACTTTAGTTTGTTTTCGACATGGAAAAGCCAGAAATTTCACCTTCAGCTACTTCCCCTTTCAACTATTTGTGGCGATGAGAAAGAAGACCACCCGTGGTCCTATTTAGAGTCCATGTTTGCATTTGTCAGAGTGAAAGACATTTCATATAGAATGAAGTGCATAGTCTGCCTCCCGAAAGAAATAATGGCCTTCAAAAATTCATCGTCGAATTTGAAAAAACATATCAAGTTAAGATAATAATATAATACACAAAGCACAGCAGTTTGAGCTATCTATAAGCACTAGATAAGTTAACTAACACTAACTACCCACGATTCATATCATGCTGTTCATATTATATATATATATATATATATATATATATATATATATACTGTGTTTGTATACAGTATATACAGTTAAAGTCAGAATTATTAGCCCCCTTTTGAATTTTTTTTCTTTTTTTTTTTTTAAGTTGACGTTAATCTGTATTACAGTCTTTCTAGTTTGCTTTGACCTGGTTAAAGAAACTAGGTTCCTCTTCATTTTCCTCATCACTATCCCAGCAGAGCAGAGGACCAGTCTTGCAAATGTGTAAACCCTTTCTCATTGGGTTGACACATTTTCCCCACCATTTTTCCAAACAGTTAACACAGATGTCATTCAAGCAGTCCAAACTCCATTGTTTTAGTTTTGGTAACCAAACAGAATCCATCTATTCCTAACTATTAAAAACTACCAACATCAGTATGAAATCACTGAAGCACCGGTTTGACACTCCTTCACACAAATCTTCAATTAGCCATCATTCTGCAAACCTTATATAAACGATGGAAGCTCTGTGTTGTTCTGTGCCAGCATTGATGGAGGAGGCCAGTATGGCTATGTCCTATACTCCCAATAGTTTTGACTGTATATGGTTTACATGTGTTTTCTTTAATATTTACAGTATTTTATTACTTTTGTCTGTTTTTTTTTTATATACAGTATTTCGGTTTTCAGCCACAGTTTGAAAAATGTCATGAATTCAATATATATTCAATCAAAGCACATCTTATTCTTGATCTAATTCTTTGCAAAAAGGCGAATTTGACAGCCCAAATAGACACAACAAATGCCATTGGCTATAAGCTACAATGGCAAGCAATGGTGATGCATTTTGAGTTCTGTATTTTGTATTTTGTTGTGCATTGTGTAATGATTAATTGATAGAGCTCATATACTTGTTTGCAAGTTGTGTTGTTTGAAGGTAAAACTAGCTTTTGTACCATATGTTAAATGTTTTGACATGATATGTGCCTTTTGCAAGCAAAATGTGTCATTTTGACCATGAGTGCCGCTGTTTAGGCCTGTGTGTTAACTGTTTTGAAAATGTGGAGTTTCAGTTGACAACTGCATCCAAGCAATCGAGAAAAACTGTAATGCTGATTCGAATGGTTTCTGTTCTCAAATCTATCCACTTTTAAAGTGTTCGGAGCGTGTGGGGAGACTGCCAAAACTGAGGGAAAATATATGTATTTTTTTAAACAAAAACCTATTAGTGTGGACACGGCCTTAGTCCAATCTGATGAACTGATTCGATCTGTTAAAAAAACAAATCATTTAAATTCACATCACTATTAGAAAAGCATAACACACACACCTGAGTGTCTCTCCAGATGATCCTCTTCTCTTCCACAGGTTAACCAGACTGCTGGATCGACTGGCGGCCGACGACGACTTCCCGTCTCCCACATGCATGCGCACCACAGTAGACGTGGTAAATGCGCTCCTCACATTCCTCTCCGGTTTAGCCAGAATAATATACACCTTGGGCACAAACATGCATCCCAGAGCCACAGTGGCGCTCAGGCTGACAGAGAAGCACATGGTGATGGTCTTATAGTTGGAGCCGAAATAAATGGGCACGAACGCCAGCCAGATTATACAAGTGGTGTACATTGTAAAAGCGATGTATTTAGCTTCGTTAAAATTGGCAGGAACGTTACGTGTTTTAAAAGCGTAAAATGTGCAGCTCATGATTAGCAGCCCGTTGTATCCCAGTGGCGCCACCACGCCTAGATTGGTGGTGTTGCAGATTAAATTAACCTCACGGATTGATGGATAATCGTGGATGACGTCAGGCGGCTCCATTACGAAAAGCGCCACGATTATACCCAGTTGCAAGAGTATCAGTAAAAATGCGATCACCAGCTGAGCGCAAGCGCTCATAAATCTGGGTTTTTTGGTGCAGATTTTCTTCTTGCTGCCGGCGAGTATTCGTGCAATGCGGTTAGTTTTGGTGACCAGCGCTGAATAGCTCATGGCGGGCGATAATCCGATGCCTAGCCGCTGCAGGTAGCAGTAGATGACATGCGGTTTAGCGATGAGGCAGAAGGTGCACAGGTATCCCAGACAGATGCCCACCAGGATGATGTAGCAGAGCTCACGGCTGGAGGATTTCACCACTGGGGTGTCCCGGTAGATGATGAAGATAGACATGACGAAGAACGTGGCCATCAGACCCAGGCAGGAGAATACCACTGCTGCAATCGGCTCAGGGTCGCCCCAGCGCAGGTACTTCACCGGGATCGGGTCACAGCCTGAAAACATGGACCAAACACGAGTCTTAAATGACTGATCTTTGCAGAAACATGCAACTTTAATTCTAACGGAGAAGATATTTTTCAGCACATTTACAATCATAATAGTTTTAATAACTCATTTCTAATAACTGATTTGTTTTATCTTTGCCATGATGAGAGTAAATAATATTTGACTTGATATTTTTCAAGACACTTCTATACAGCTTAAAGTGACATTTAAAGGCTTAACTAGGCTAATTAGGCAAGTTAGGGTAATTAGGCAAGTCATTGTTTAACAGTGGTTTTGTAGACAATCAAGAAAATAATTGCTAAGGGGGCTAATAATATTGACCTTAAAATGGTTTTAAAAAAAATATAGGAAACACCAAGGAAAATTTCCTTGCTCTGTTAAACATCATTTGGGAAATATTTGAAACATATTACAGGAGGGCAGGAGAGCTGTATATATATATATATATATACACAGTTGAAGTCAGAATTATTAGCCCCCTTAAATTATTAGACCGCTTGTTTATATTTTCCCTAATTTCTGTTTAACGGAGAGCAGATTTTTAAAAACATAATAGTTTTAATAACTCATCTCTAATAATGGATTTATTTAATATTTTTACCATGATGACAGTAAATAATATTTTACTAGATATTTTTCAAGACACTTCAAATCCGCTTAAAGTGACATTTAAAGGCTTAACTAGGTTAATTAAGGTAACTTAGTAAGGTAACTAAGGTAAATTAGGTAATTGTATATCAATAGTTTGTTCTGTAGGTTATTGAGAAAAAATATAGCTTAAAGGGGCTAATAATTTTGTCCCTAAAATGGTGTTTAAAAAATGTTAAACTGCTTTTAGTCTAGCTGAAATAAAACAAATAAGACTATCTCTAGAAGAAAAAATATTATCAGACATACTGTGAACATTTCCCTGCTCTGTTAAACATCATTTGGGAAATATTTAAAAAAGAAGAAAAAAACTTGAAGGTTAATAATTCTGACTTAAACTGTGTGTGTATGTGTGTGTGTGTGTGTGTGTGTGT